ATATGGATTCTACTCCAATATTTTCGCGCTTTATCACATGTCCACCATAAATGGTAAGAAGTCCCCTCTTTACCTTTACATTTGCAACATTCATTTGAAATGCCTTTATACGTTTTTTATAACATCTGGTGTTAAATACCAATGTTACGTCATCTTGTAAAAGTTTTCTTTTAAATTATAGTTTAATGTAAGTTTTAATTCTTTATTCCACACATTCTCCTATTGTTAAAGCATTACATTATACCCAAAATTCCTTGCTCACTGAATCATACAATATTTTACTTGTTCATTTTCCAGATTTATGTTCAAGAATATTTTATAAACTTTAGCAATAATACAAAGCTAAACCCATGATTCTAACCCTAACCCTAACCCATTCCAAATAACTTGTTCACTGACTGCATCTTTTCTTCAGAATGACCACACTACCCAGATGGAAATGTCATTTTCCCTTGCTCTGTATTTAAGCAGGAAGGGAAAGACATGTTTTACTGTTTAACACCGTTTATGCTTTATTGAGGTTTCAAACAAAATAGAAACAATTTTATCAATATATGTTATAAAGCAAATTATGCCAGCAGGTTGCTTCCTCTTCTTCCAGCTGGAGCATAAAGCCCAGGCTTGTCCAAAACAGTAGGGAGCAAGAGCAGCTCATGTAGCCCGTTAAGAAATGTAAGAAGCTGCTTATATACAGTCGTAGCATTCATCCATGTAACTCAGTACAGATGGTCCTGACTGGCAGTAGCTTTACAAATGATGAAGCAGGACTTTTCTCTGCCATACTGAAAGAAGCCAAAGCTTGAACCTGGGATCTCCGCATGCAAAGCAGGTGCACTTCAATACAGCTCTGACCATTATTCAGTGATGCTTATTATCAAGTAACTGTGCATTTCAATTTTACACGTTTAACTACCATAGGACACTGGTTCTCAACCTGTGGTCCATGGCCCCTAGGGGCCCTTGATGTTGTTACAAGGGGTCCGTGAAGACTTGAAAAAATATTATGATTTAAATCTTGAATTAAGTCTTGATAGCCTGTGGCCATGGTCCGTGGCCACAAAAAATATTTAAAGAGGGTCTGTGGTGAAGAAAAGGTTGAGAACCACTGAACTGGAGGTAAACATTACAAGCATTATAGTTATAAATGCTCACCCTGCATCTCATTCTGACCAATGAGATTTATATCCAGCTTAATGTGCAGAGGTTTGCAGCCTTGGAATCAGTGCTAACTTGCTATCTTCACAAATATAGCCTCAGTGAGATGGGTGGCATAGAATTTTAATAATAAAAATCAAATATAGAAATGTACCAAAAATGGATTCTAACTGTTTGCGTCAAATAGGAGGAGGCAACTAGCAGGAAGAGAATGAGCTACTTTCTCTTCCTGGAAAATGGAAAAAGAGAATCTTTAAACTTTTCCTCACTTTCTAGTAGACAAGGTTGTATCATAGTTGGCTTCACATTTTACAGGCATAGCTAGAAGTATTAGTACCCTTCACTTTTCCCCCAAGAATCCCAATTTGCTGTGAAATAAGTTGAATTGACACAGATAAATGGCACTCACATTCATTATTCTATAATCTATAGATTAGACACTTTCCTTTTGATATATGATTTAATCGTTTCAACTTATTTCATGGCAAATGGAGCTTCTTTAGAAAAAAATGGAGGCTACAACTGTACAATGCTTTTATTTTATGTTATACTGAGTGCCCTCTTACAGTATGTCAGGGGAATTCTCCTAGGTTTATTTATTTATTTATTTATGAGACTTATATACCGCTTTAAGTGCAAGCACTCTCTAAGCGGTGTACACCAGTAAGCAATGTATATATATATATATATATATATATATATATATATATATATATATATATATATATATATATATTTACATTGCCCCCAACAATCTGGGTCCTCATTTTACCTACCCCGGAATTACCTCGGAATTATTAGCATTACACCAACCAGAAGAGTCCTGTACCATTGGGATTGTCTTGCTTCGGACAAGAGCACTTCTATTACATCCAACACAAGCACAAGGTACCCTCATTAGTGGAGAGCAGGAATGCATGATGTTAGCCTCAATTCACCCCCAGTCTGAAGCTAATGCAACTTTGCTTTCTGGCTCTGCCTATAAGTAGTTGTATCTGTCCTACTGTCCAGTTCGTGTAATGTGCTTCACTTCCTTCTATAGCAGCGGTTCTCAACCTGTGGGTCACGACCCCATTTCATGGGGGTCGCCAAACAACGCAGTCCGTCATTTTTTTCCCCTTTTCCTTAGCTGGGCTACTCCCTTTTATTCTACTCTCTTGAATAGAGTCTAATTCTATTGGCTTTCAAAAGCCAATAGGAATTGTCCAGGTTGTCTCTGCCCTGCTGAGCCCGCCAAAAGCCCCAGTCTGCAAATGGTGCTGCAAGTTATCTGCAGCAAAGGCGAGCTGTCTGGAAGCTTCCACCCCTCCCTGCTGAGCAACTACTAAAAATGTAAGTAAAGAGGGCCAGGGGTGGGAGGTGGGAGGCCGGCGGGCGCAGGGAGGGTTGCTGGCACGCGTGGGGCCCGGCGGGTGCCTTACCTCCCTTGGACTGGGCCAGCTGGTGGCCCAGCTGGTGGTCGCCCTGCGCTGTTGCTGCCCCTTGCCAGCTATGCCTCGGCCAGCATGGGGGGCGGCACCACGCATGTGCGGCGCTCCCGGGCAGGGAAAGTCCTCGACTTACGACCGGTTGGTTAGTCCTCGACTTACGACTGGTTGGGGTCGCGCATTTAAAAGGTTGAGAACCACTGGTCTATAGCATAAATCTATTTGAGTTGGTTGCTCATGCCTTCAAAACGCAATTCTCTTCCATTACTCTCTTCTGGTAAAGTGGCTTAATTATGACTGGATTATTTTATTGTTTTACGACTGTTTTTAACTTTGTACACCGCCCTGAGTCCTTTGGGATTGGGCGGCATATAAATATTTGTAAATAAATAAATAAATAAATAAATACTGATCCATGTGCACTGCATAGTTACTGTGTCCTAGATACAGGCCTGTATGATTCTGCCCTGGTGCTCCATGTTACTTTCTTTTCATCCTCCCCCCCCCCCCAAACAATGACACAGTTGAGTCTGTCAATTGATTCTTGAGAAGATGCAGTCTTCTTTTTAGTTTCAAGGTAACCTGTACAGAATGAGTCTTTTTAGGAAATTAAGGAACACTTTTCTGTCATGCTCAAACAATGAAACAGCAACCAGCTTTGATGAACATTTTTAATAAATCATCGTCTCAAGATAATCAGTTCACTTATTCCTTAATGCTACTTTGCAATATTGCAGTTTACAATACTAGTTCCATTTCTTCAATTAGTAGTATAAGCTTTATTAGTGCTAGTCAACATTTACCGTAGAATGCAGAGTGAAGGACTTTGGAGATGAGGCACTGTTTGCTTGAAATAACAAAACTCTAGAAACTTCCACTGAAAGTACGTTTAAGTATGAATGTCCAACCATAGGCAGTTTAAACTAGCGATGATGCAGAGATATGAGGGTGCAGCAAGCAGAACTGTTCAGTCAGGACTCATAGCAGCTCAGTCCAAATTAAACATCTTGCCAACACTGCTGCTCAAGTGTACAATCTAGGAATTTATGGGCCAGAAGAAGCTTGATGCTGTGATATAGAATTGCCATCAACTAATACTAGAAAAGCCATTGTTGAGATTGCCTACAATACTTCCAGGTCTCAGTAGCTGCCGAATAATGAAATTATTTTAAAAATTGGAATATGGTAAATAGGAGCTATATTTGTATTGAACAAATTTAAGTCCATTAGAACCTACCAGTAGTACCTTGGATTGTTCTTTTGGGGCCTTTTGGAATTCAGTGTAACTTCTTTTCAAGGAAACATGAAGTGTTTTGAGCAATTTATTAAAAAAACTTTCGAAGATTTCCCAGAGCTGTTTAACTTCTTACTTTTTTATCTTCCACTTTTTTTTAATCTCCCCTTATCCTTCCTCGGGCAGATTGTGCACGTGTACCTTCCAACTGAGGCTAAAATTTCATGCATCTGGTAAAGTGGCTTAATTCAATCCATAGATGCTTGTTTCATGTTAAAGCTCCTAGGCACGCTTCCTGGAGTCTACTTCCCATTTGATTGAACGGGTTTGCTTTTTTTTTTTTAAATTAAGCGTACTCCACTGAAAAGCCCGGACACAAATATCTACCACCTTCAGGCCATTTTGTCATCCAAAGGTAAACGGAGACCGTCGGTGATTTCCTATTGGTTGACGATGATGTAATGCAGCAGAACATACGGGTCTCTCTCTCTCCCCCCCCCCCATTCCTGGTAAGTACTTGAGAGAAGGCCGCTCCAGTGTTTAGCCAATCAAAAAGAAGAGTCCATTATGGCCTTGAGGACTGGAATAGGGAGGGCAACTAGTTCGATTGCTTTTCAAACACCGCCTCATTCTCATTCCCTTCCACCCCGCCTCATTTGCAGCCCTACCCAATCAGGGTGCAATATTGACACTCGCCTCTTCGGCTATTTGAGAAACTCTGTTAAAGGACGCGGAAGCTAGGAAGATGGACATATTTCTTAGCCAATTGAATGACGGAAAAAATAAAGGCGGGCTAGGGGGGGAAATCAGTATATGTTTTGTAAGAAAAAGAAGTAGTAGGAAATGGGGCGGGGTGAATAAGTCAATTGGCACTTGTGTGGCACCAATGAAGCTTCATTCTACATAACCATGTAGCTTTCTAGAAGCACATAGATGGAGGCGGGAACCTGACTTATCGGCCAATTGATATGAAGCTGAAAAAGACTTGTACTCAACGGGCGTTGTTTTATAAATGGCAAGTAAATTAGCCAATCGGTATTTAGAATATGAGATTTGACAGGTGAAAGATCCAATGGAAATGTGGGCGGGGACCAGAGCGTTTGAGTGACCGTCATTGCGACCAGTAAAGGTAAATCTTTTTCTTTCTTTTTTTTTAAATACCTGTTCGGCTCTCACTCCCCCTCCCTCTCTCTGTCTCTCTCTGTCTCTCTCCAAGGCTCTGGTAAGGGAGGGGGCTCTTGTCCCCTCCTCCCACCCGGTGCATTCTGACGTTGCGCGGCAGGGAAGGAGGGAGGGCCTAGTAGCGGCCGCTGGGATACAGGCTTCCAACATGTCTGCGCTGCTGACTGCGCTTGGATTGCGAGGGCAGAGGCCGACGAACGGAGAGGCCACTGCGTGAGGAGGAGAAAGTAGAAGAAGGCGAAGGCGTTCTGTTAGAGCTGTAGCCTGACCCGACCCGAAGCCTAAGTGGGGGAGACGGAGGCTCCTTCCGCGGGCGGGCGCGGAGTTTCTAGTCAAGCCAAGAGGCTGCGGCGCCAGGTACAGGCCCGGGCCGGCTCTTTCGGAGGGAAGGATTGCGGGGCGGGGGCGAAGGCTGACGGGGAGAACGAGGCCTTGTCAGGCGGGAGACGTTGAGCGCGCAGCAAAAAACGACGCAGAGTGGGGGGAAGAGGACGGCCTCGGCCTCCGCTGGCGTTGCGGGCAGCAGCAACCGCGGGGGCTTCTGTGTAACGCGGAGAAAGCGCAATGGCTGAATTTGTATCTGCACTGTAAGGCCAGGGGTGGGGGAAAAGAGTTGGACGTGGTCCTCGGTCGGAACAGCAGGATGGAAGCGGGCGGGCTGTGGGGGTTCTGATCATAGGCCCCTCGTGGCCGATTGCGGCTGCTTTGCGGGGGCCTCCGTGTGGAAGGCGCAGTTTGGGATTGAAGGGAGCGTTTGATGGGGCCAAAAGCTGGGATGTGGGCTGGATGTGCGCGATCTCGCGGTTCCTTGCCTTGGATGGGAGGGAGAGGCCTGGGCGGACGGAGGACCTTTTTCTCCAATACATATTAAGGCTGCGTTATTTGGATGTCGACTACAGGGTGGAATTTTATAGTTAGTCCATTTTTAAAAAAAGGGTCTGGCCTCCCCGGTTTGCTGATTTTGATAGGATACGCAAACATCTGAAATGTAGATTCTCTGCAGAGGCGGTTCTGGGATTAATGCAGGTTGGAACTAATGTTGCCAAAAGAGAACTCTCTTCGTGCTAGCCCTGAAGGACATAGCCCCACGTTGCTTGTAGTTTTGGTGATGGACAGACTACTAGTGAAATCTATACCTTTTGACGGTTGGCTGGAATTCAGATCTTGACGGCTGCTTACGTATTTGCTGACTAATTTACTTTTATTGGTATACATTACAAAGTGATGTTAAACTTTACCTCAATAGAAAACATGCATAATGTAAACTATTTTTATAAATTTATTTGAAAATCTCTATTCCAATCTCATAAGTGATTCTCTGTAGTTTTTGTATTGCTTTCTGTGCCCTCATTTTAAGGGAGTACAAATGGAAGACAAATTTCTAATTTTGCATAATGATTGGAAAAACTAAGATGGTGACTAGAAAGTTGAAGAATAGATTGAAATTAACTTGCAATTGCTTTAGAAAACATCTTGATATTTCATGAGAAAATACTAATATAAATAAAGATGGAGTTGCAGATTTGAACTTATTTGTACCTTGTATTTGATTGTTCAGTGGATGTGTAATTAGTCAAAGAATTTAGCATTGTTAAAGGAAGATGCTATTTGTAGGCTGAATTATTAGATCAATAATAATTGAGAATTTTTATTCAAGTCATATATGGAATAATGAAATTTATGAGGTATGATTTTTAGCAGAATAAGACAATGATATACAGAAAACATAGGTGTTTGCAAAGATGACTATCTTACATAGCTATGTGCACTTGAGATGCTGTTATCCACATATATTAAATAGTGAAGTTAATCTGAGTACAATATAACTTGTTCAATGTGGATTTGCCACAAGACTGAGCTAAGTGCATGTAATTTGTGAAAAAAGTGGGATTAAAAGTATTAAGAATTTACAGAAATGGATCACCCTTGACATTCTGTTACCCTAGTTTCTTACAGCAGATAACTTAGCTGTATTTAAAAAGCATCACTATAGTGGAAACCAATCCCTTTCTATATCATTTATGTAGAACTTGTCTCCTGTATAGTGGTAGTGTTTTGCTTTTTTGATGAAGATCTAAACTTGAATATAGTAATAGGATGGTTTTTTTCTCTAACATAATTTCTTGAAACTTAAGTCCTTAAAAGTTAAGATTAGAATCTCTTGCCATCCATAAAATAAACATTGTGATTTATCACAGCTGATTAGACAGGAGTTTTTTTCTGCCTCCAGTAGGCGTTTTTTATTCTGTCACATTATGTTCTTTTCTGCAGCTCCTAAGATCGTGTTTTCTACTGGTTAAGAGTTGTGAAGACTGTACAGTAGGTCTCATTATAACACAGTGGAGGGAATGGAGACATTGCCTGGGGAAAATAATTAGTTGTGCATGCCACAACTAATCAACCCAATTGTAAGCTGCTCTGTCCATTTATTAAATATGAAATACACAGAGTGTTACACAATCATTTCTGCAATACCACTTTATAATGGCATCTGATTATTGTGGTAATATGAAGCCTATCTCAAATTAGGAATATTGCTACAACAGTAGCTACATAATGGTATAAAACCAAAGATGGGGAACAATGGCCCTTTTTATGATTTGTGGACTTCAACTCCCAGAATTCCTGAGCCAGCCATGCTGGTTCAGGAATTCTGGGAGTTGAAGTCCACAAGTCATAAAGAGGTCATCGTTCCCCACCTCTGCTATAAACTGTTGATGTGGAAATTCTGATACCTTCAAATAATCTATGTATAGCAAAATTTGGATAGGGAAGGAGGATTTTTTGTTACTCTGTACTACAAAAATGATTGGAAATGTTGAATACAAGATAGATTGATTTTTCATATGCTAAAGATAGCTTGGACAATGTTTCAATAAGCTTGGATGGTGCTATAGGCAATATGGCAATATATAAGAGTTAATATGGCCTTTTAATTAAAATGTTAAACCTATAGTATTCTGAAATCTCATCTCTAGCAGCTTAATGCGGGTTTGGTATACTTTTAAAATCAATACAATAGAACAATATTTGGTTTTCCTATGCATTTTATTGTTGTTGTATACTGCAGGAAGCAGGTTTTAAGTATACCAACTGTAATAGAAATAGCATTTAGGCTTATATATCGCCCCATAGTGCTTTATAGATTTACAAGGTAGCAACTATTTACAAGGTAGCAGCATTATTTGCATACTGCCCAGTTATAATTTTCTAATAACTAAAATTGAATAAGAGAAATGATAGCTCACTAAGCTTACCTATATTACCTTGCTGCCAGCTGTTGATTCCATCTTAGTTTTCTAATAGTACTACAGATTTCTAGCTTTAAATGGACAGAAAAGACAATTTTATAAGAAACAGACGTGTAAAAATATTCTAATATTTAATGGTAGTAGAGCATTGTTGAGTTGCTCAGGTGGTCTTAATCAGCAACTTACTAGTTACGTTTATGTGTATGCTGCCTTATTTTTTATCACATAAATTTCTATATTGTTTAAAATTTATCAGTGTACAATCACAAAAGTACTGTATTTCTTAATGGAGGACTTTGGCTATTTAAACTGGCAATAGTAATGAAATATTGCTAGAATTTATTAAAATAGCAATAGGGATAAATAAAGCAATCCTGTAAGTTCCTTGAAGCTTTAGAAAAGAAGGATTGCAATTCATGACTCAAAGGACTGGTCCTTACTATGAAATCCTGAACTACTGTTAGACCCTACGCTAAAGGTACTTAAGCAAATAAAGCGTTCATATTATACAAACTCACAAGAATGTCCAAAGCATGTCAGAAGCATGTTTTTCAGTGGCTGCTTTATAACAATAGAACTTCACTTCTCTGGAGTTCTGCCAAAAACCAAATAGTAGCTTGACCATTTAAAGCACATGAATTGTTTATGTTTAGAAGGAACTGAAATAGCCAAGAAGCCTGTTGTCTTGGCACCAGCTGAATTCTTCCTGAATATTCTCTTATTCCTTAGCTGTGGATTCTACCATATAGTCTCATTGCCTCTCCCCCACTTTTTTCTTTAGTATCCAGTGTTAAAGGTGAAGCTATTTTTAGTTCTTTTTCTAATAAATGTTATGCTTTATTTGAATATCCGAAAAAGGGTACTGCAAATTCTCCAGTGGACACAACTTATACTTTATTGACTTAAATCGTTGAAACTTAATGAAAGCAGTGACTGCATTGCATTCATACCTTATTTCTTTGACTTGCCAGTTGTTTTTAATTAGAAGTGAAATTGCAAAGTACCTTGATACCTAATGTTTCTTGCATTATTAATATGAAAATGTACAATCCAAGAGTACAATAAGGAGGTTCAGAGTCTAAGGAAAAGTTGCTATGTAATAAACATCAAATTTGGTTATGAGCAATGTACCTTTCACCATTAGTTTCACTAGATTTCAATAACTAAGACATGTCTGCAATTACTGGTGCATGAGAACATTTCAGGTTTTGAAATCAGTGTATTTGTGATCTGCTTATCTCATGTTCCAATTTTAAATTCTCTCTTCTGAAGAAACTGCACACAACTAGTTTTTCATGGAATTGAAGATTATGGTTCTATAACAAGTTTTATAATGAGCTGTTATAGAATAAATCAGTAGTAAGATCACTGTTAATATAGTGTATGCCAGAAATGACAATACAGTGAAAAAGTAGGATAGAAAAGTTTAGTTGGCGTGAAAGAAGAGTAAAAAAAGGAATATAATCTGATTTCCTTTCATTCAGGAAGAATCAGGCTACATACCAGATTTTTTTCTAAATCATAAATATTTAGATAGTAGAAAATATTTAGATAGCAGAAATGAATAGCTTTCACTAGATGTTTCATTTGCTACTCAGTTAAGGTTACCAAATCATTCAGTAATGGATACTGTTTTAAAGATTCTTGCTAACTCAGTACAGATGTTACTGCACATAATAGAGCTGCAGTATACTTGCAAATATATGGAAGTATGACTATAGGAATAACTAAATCTTTGTAAGCAGCTTTTAAAATATATGGATAATTTGCCAGCATCTGAGAGCTCAGAAATAATAGCATTTTAAAAAATTGTGTATCTTTTGTAGTTTTTGAGCCCAGCTGAAATGTACAATGGGAAGGAAGGCTCAAGGTAGAAATCTGCAGAAATTAAATTTCATTCTGTTCTTTGCAAAAGTAATCACTTTCCCTGAGTATTGGGCTCTCTTGAACCTGGAGTATTTGTTATAAGAGTTGTTGAGCATCCCAAGCATATTTAAACTCAGTTACTGACGATTGACCCATTACCTCCACTAGACATTGGTTCCAAGTTTCCACTATTTCTGTGAAGTAATAGTATGTAACACTATTTTTTAACTTACCTCCTGC